GGTAATTTATATTTTACACTATGTGATTTGTATAATTTTTACAAAAAAAAAATCAACAAATTAATTAATATGAACATAAGGCACAATAGTAAAATATTCATCAATTTATTAATGATTTTTGGGATAATGCCCAAGTACCCCTCAACCTATGCTCGAAATCCAGAGACACACTTATACTAGACTAAGGTCCTATTACCCCCCTGAACTTATTTTATTAATAATTTTTTACTCCTTTTCGACCTACATGGCACTATCTTGTGGGCCCAATGATGACTGATCTTTTTTTTCAAACTAGTGCCACGTAGGCAAAAAAGAGGTAGAAAATTACTTATAAAATAAGTTCAGAGGGTAAAAGAACCTTAGTATAGTATAAGTGTGTCTCTGAGATTTCGGGCATAAGTTGAGGGGATACTTGGATATTTTCCCATGATTTTTTAATTATAATGTAAAATAAAAAGTGTCCATCTAATACGGAAGGAAGAGAGTTACTAGTATCACATGTTACATGAGTAAGTTTTCTTTGGATTTTTATTATATTTATAATTTATAATTTATAATTTACAATATATATGAAATGAGGCTATATAAGAGAGCACAACATGAACCATATTGCTTCATCACCTTCACCCCCCAAAAGCATATAAAGGCATCTCTCTCCTCTCCTTTTTTCTTTTTTTACGATATTCTTTTTATTACTATTACGATGTTTGAGTCAGTTTATACATACTTAAGCTTGTTTTACAAAGCACTTGCTATATTTCACCAATTTTCGTCAGAAAAATTGGTTCATCGAAACATTTTCCAAATCTTTTTCTTTGATTAAACGTTCAAAATTAACGATTTTCTGATAGTCTAATATACATATATGTGTATCATGTTCACATCAATCAATTCTTATTAAAGACAATAACCTAAAATTACCTTTTAAGTAATCTGATTCTATTAATATTATCGCACCATTAAAAATACATAGAATTTTTTTAATATATATTTATATAACTTGTTTAATTATTTTTTTCTTCATGCAGAAAATTAAATCTCTTCAAATAGAGGGGCAAAATGTTGACCAAAAATAGTCATTTTATATTGTCAATTTTGACAATATTTTTTGTTTTGCCCCTAAGTTTATTATCCAAAAATGTGAATGGTCAAATTCCATTAAGAAGACATTTATTAAGTCATGAATCAGAACATTATGCAGTAATATTTGATGCTGGAAGTACTGGAAGTAGAGTTCATGTTTTTCGATTTGATCAAAAATTAGGACTTCTTCCTATTGGCAACAATATTGAGTATTTTATGGCGGTATGTATGTAATTTTATTTTATTTTTACTATACTACATTTAATGCATAAAATACGCGGTCGTTAGTTTTGAATGAGTTTAAAAATTAAATTTTATAGTTAGTTTTGAATGAGTTTAAAATTTAAATTTTGTATATCATAATTCATACGAATAAATAATTTTTATACTATCAGTGTAATTTATAACTTGTTGTTTATGGTGGTTTACTTACTATTCATCATGAAGTTAGGTCCACTTATATTTATCTTTTAGGCAAGATCATGTAATATTTCATGAAAAGTTTCTATATAGTTTGTGTATATAAGTTAAATCGAGAATTAGTGATAACTGGTGGACTCAATTAGTTTATGGAAGAATCGTGATTATTACTTGAATGGTTTAAAATATGAAAAGTAAATATACGAAGATTGAGTCAAATAAAATTTAATATTTATAATATATACATAAAAATACTAATTTTAACTTGTATAATATATAGTGTGGTTTTTAGTCTTATGGGTCGGGGTTCGAATGAAACTCCTAAACCCTACCTAGATATGTCCTTGGACTTGATCACTCAGAGATAGATATCTAATTATCGATTCAATTAAATCGTAATAGTAGCTTTGAACACCCACCCACCCATCCACCCCACGCCCCTTTTGAAATTTTATATAATAATTAATTTAATTAATTTTATCTTGATTTTGTAGACCGAACCAGGGTTAAGTTCATATGCAGAAGATCCAAAGACTGCAGCCAATTCACTAGAGCCACTTTTAGATGGAGCTAAAGGAGTTGTTCCTCAAGAATTGCAATCTCAAACACCTTTAGAACTTGGGGTTAGTATAGATATATATATATTTTACACTATCAGATTATTTAGAACGCGAAAAAGGTCATATATTAAATAATATCATAAAAGGAGATAATAATCGAAAGTCTTACGAAAATAACTACTTATATATAATCGTTCATAACAAGTGAAACCAATATATATGAAGAAAGATAGATCATTTCACGCTGTCGTATGATCGCAATATAAGTTAAAATTCCTATAACATAATATACAATCGCATATTAGTTAAATCCTATTAACATAATATACAATTGTATTATCATGTAATAGAAGTATATAAGTAGATTCGACTTCTTTTTTATGTGAGATTTTCTATAAAAAATTTAAATTTAGTCAGATTATAATGGAGGTGTAAAAAAGAGACAAAAAGTACTATATTATAATATAGAATTACTTTATCATTTTGATTTAGTTTATAATAAATGAGACTTTTGATTAACCTTTTAATTATTGTTTTTCTTTGTGTGAATTATTTAAATGATTACAGGCAACAGCAGGTCTTAGGATGTTAAAAGGGGATGCAGCTGAAAAAATTCTACAAGCAGTATATTATTAACTTGAAGAAAATAAAATACTTTTATTATTTTAATAAAAAAGATAATTAATCTTCCTTTTACTCCCTCCGTCCAGAAATATTTGTCATGTTATAATTTTTAAAGGTAAATTATATCACATTAATTCGATATTTTAAACCAAAAAAATTAGATATTCTAAAACTATATGAAAAGTATTATAAATTATAATTTTTTTCATATTAATATGATGAAAAATTGCATCTTAAAATATTAGTCAAAGTTTTTATAGTTTGACTCTAAAAATAAAAATCATGACAAACAATACCGGACGGAGGGAGTACTGCTTTATTAATTTATTCATTTTTGTTGTTATTTTTCAATTTTTTAAAAGGTGAGAAATTTAGTGAAGAATCAAAGCACTTTCCATAGCAAAGATCAATGGGTGACTATTCTTGATGGAACTCAAGAAGGCTCTTATATGTGGGTAAGTTGTTTAAACTAAAAATAATTATTGTTATATTAGTCATCTATTAAAAATCTACAATATATATATATATATATATATATACATATATATATATATATATATATATATATATATATATTGTTTACTAAAAATAAATAGTAAATCTGATAGATTATTTGTGTAAAGATTTTTGACTTTTTAATGTGTCTCTTAGTATACCCAAAAGCCATAAGAATATTTTAAATAAATATAATATAATAATTACATGTAACTCTCATTTTTTTTTTCTTTACTAAAAAATATTGATCTTTAAAAAATTAAACATAAAATATTCATAGTGTAGGGTAAGTAAAGGATGTCAATTGATTAAAATCCTTTTTATTTTCTATCTAATTTTGGTTTGTTTGGTATTTTATTATTTATTAATAGGCTGCAATAAATTATTTATTGGGAAATTTGGGCAAAGATTATAAAAGTACAACAGCAACAATTGATCTTGGTGGTGGTTCAGTCCAAATGGCATATGCTATATCAAATGAACAATTTGCAAATGCTCCTAAAAATGAGGATGGAGAACCTTATGTTCAACAAAAACATCTTATGTCAAAAGATTATAACCTCTATGTACATAGGTTTGTTTTTTTCCTCCTTTTCTATTTCGCTCGATATCTGATACTCATTTTTGTAAAGGTACGTGGAATCATCGTAATAATATTACGTGTTTGACATGAGAACTGATTAACTTTAACTCAAACAGTTTATATACGTGAAATATTCGCTTTGCGAGGACAGAGTCACAGTGATGGAAGTATTGACCAAACTAAGCCGTTATATAAAACATTTCATCAAAATAATATGTTTTTTTAAAATTTTACAAAACTAGTATAAACATATTTCACAGTAACATTTTAGGATATATTATATTTTTTAAAAGATGACGGCGTTAGATTGATGTACGTTACTCATAGTAACGTTTTACTCCTAAAATATTACTGTGAGTAACGTTTTACTCATAAAACGTTACTGAAAAAAACATTTTAGGAGTAAAACGTCATTCACAGTAACGTATATCAACCTAACGCTGTTAGTTCTTAAATAATGAAATATACCCTAAAACGTTACTGTGAAATACGTTTATACTAATTTTGTAAAACTTTGAAAAAATATATCATTTTGATAAATTGTTTTATATAATAACTTAGTTTGGTAAAAAAAAATCACAGTGATGGCTATTTTGGTTTAATATGTAAAAATAACCTATTCAAAACCAAGTAACACTACATAAAAAAATTAATTTTTATCGACATTAATTAATTCATGTAATTGGATCCATGTTGCTATTGACATTAATTACATTTTATAAAGAGTGTTAATTGTCTTTTAAAAATGTATTTAGTGGCAATCAAGTTATTGCCGTTTAAGATCATTTTTGATATAGTACACTGTAAGCAAAAATAATTAAGGTCGAGAACCAATAAATAAAAAAATTTGGCTCAATCTAGGCTATTTAAGTCTCGATTAATCCAGATTCGTGTCATGTAAAATTCATCTATAAATTAAAGGGAAAAGTGTAACTTAAAATAATTAAATAATTAAGATTTTATTGTATTTAATAATTATAATATATTAATTATGTTTATTTTTAATGTATATATGCAGTTATTTGAACTATGGACAATTAGCAGGTCGAGCTGAGATTTTCAAGGCTTCAAGAAATGAAAGTAATCCTTGTGCTTTGGAAGGATATGATGGTATATATATATATATACCTCTAGTCTCATATTAAATTCTAATTAATTACTAATCTTCACCACAAATTATATTTTGTTCAAAATATTTATAATAATACAAGAAATAATTATATTATATAATAATACGCTAAATCATAATGTTAGTGTATATGACTTAAATATATATGTACGTTAACAAAGACTTAAGTATCTCTATATGTAGGGTGTTTGATCAAACTTATAAATAATTTTAAACTTATGTATTAGTTAAAACTCAAATCAATCAAAAGTTATAAGTTGACCGATCCTGATTGTATTTTTTCAATTGTAAAATGATTTATTATCAATTTCATCAATTTTTTTTTATCTGAACACGTAACTGCTTATTTTAGAAATCGTTTTTTTTTAAGGTTATTATTCATATGGAGGAGTGGATTACAAAGTAAAAGCACCAAAAAAAGGTAGTAGCTTGAAGAAATGTAGGAACTTAACTAGACAAGCACTTAGAATTAAAGCTCAATGCAAAAACAAGAATTGCACCTTCAATGGAGTGTGGAATGGTGGTGGTGGTGATGGACAAAAAAATATTCATGCTTCATCATTTTTTTATGATATTGGTGCTCAGGTAATAATTATTTTTTTTATGTATATATGCAACAATTTAGAAAAAATGTTACTATACTAAAAAAAAATAAAAAAGAATTTAGCGACGGATAAATTTCGTAGCGAAACAGCTTAATTCTATTTAGTGATAACAGATTAACGTTAGATTTTTTGTTAGCTATAAGCGCGATGAACTAGCAACAAAGTTCATAGCTGATTTCAAATACTTTTTAAGTAGTGCATGTTAGGAATGAAAGAAGAATTTTTTTTTTTATAATAATTCATCAAATTTGGTGGAGGTCATATTTATCATTTAGAGTTGGGGGAGGGGTCGTTATAGTGACTATAACGAGCTATTTCAGACAATATTATAAGGGTTTGTTATCATCTTATTAACTTTTTTAATTTCAACTTATCATCGACAGTGTCAAATAGTAATTGTCAATTGTTATAATATTTATATTAATTTTGTATACAGTCTGTATAGAATTTCAAACTCAATAATGACAACTAAAAACAAGGGTCACACTCATCATAGGGCTTGACCATAACACTTTACGACACGAGCTTAACATCTAATCATGTATCAGAAATGTCGAATAGTAGTTGTCAATTGTTATAATATTTATATTAATTTTGTATATAGTATGTATCATCACTTTTTGGGTGTTGAATTTTGCATTGTAGGTTGGCATTGTTGACACCAAATTTCCATCTGCCCTAGCAAAGCCAATTCAATACTTAAATGCAGCTAAAGTTGCTTGCCAAACAAATGTAGCAGACATAAAATCTGTATTCCCAAAAACTCAAGATAGAAATATCCCATACTTGTGTATGGATTTGATATATGAGTACACTTTGCTTGTTGATGGATTCGGTAAGTATATATTTTCGAATTCAAACTTATATACACTGACCAGACGTTTCCCTAGAAAGACATCTAGGTTATTCAACTAAAGGTCAATATAGTGCTTTTGGTTTCTCTGTTATTGTGATATCTGACTAAGCGTACTATTAAGACTTTAGTAAGTTAAATTGTGTTCTCTCGATCCTTTCGATACATATACTTACCCCCCCCCCCCACCCCACCCCTCTTTTTTTGGGCAGGACTAAATCCACACAAAGAAATAACAGTGATACATGATGTGCAATACAAAAATTATCTAGTTGGAGCAGCATGGCCATTGGGATGTGCTATTGACTTAGTTTCTTCAACTTCAAACAAGATTAGAGTTGCATCATCTTAATGTGTTGTTATGTCAATCAATTGTATCAATAATGACTCATGCCCTTTGCTTTGTTGTTTTTTTCTTATATTGTCTTTAATTAATGGGAATTACATCCAAATTGTGAACAATTTGTCTCTTAATTAGAGCATATGATAGTCAAGTTGTCACGATTTGAATCGTAATATTATGAGTTTAAAGTTTTAGCAACTTCATATTTGTTCAATTGGACCTTTTTGGTTCCTTTGTTGATTATTTATAAAAAAAAAAGAAATTAAAAATATATATTTTAGTATATAATTAAATAATATGGAAATTTTTACATATAGCCACTCAAAAATAGCTTAATTATACTTCATAAATATAGTTTGTTCGTTACGATTCATAGCTAAATGTGATAGGGAGGAAAGAGGCGATCGAGATTTGGAGAGGGAAAAGAGAGAGGCGAGTGAGAGAGGACAGAGAGTGGAGATCATAGGTAACTTGTACATGTATATTGGTGAGATAATTGCATATATCTAATTACCATGTATATGTATCAATGCATGTATTAGTATATCTGCATAAAGTTTGAATTCGTATACACGAGTCGAGTCAAAACACTTATATTTGTACATTCAATCTCTCTCTAGCATTATACAAGCACAAATTATACATTGCATTTGCATAATTTGTATTTGTAATAAGTGAGAGAGAGACAAAAGAAAACTGGGCAGAGAAATATTAATATTTATATAATTATATGTGCATAGGATGGACATATGTATTTTGTATTTTGTATATACAATTTCTCTCGCTTTATACAAACACAAACACAATTTATACATTACTGCTTGTATAAAGAAAGAGATAGATTGACAGAAGAGAATCGAGAGAGAGATTTGGCAGGGAGAGGAGAGTCAATTGAGAGATGAATGAAAAAGATGAGAGTGACAATCGAGATTTTAGAGAATGGAGAGAGAGAGAGGAAAAGAGGAGAGTGACAAGAGAGAGAATGTAATTATAGCTAGACGTAAATTTTGAATTGTAATTAATGCAAACTGTATCTATATTAACTAATATATATTTACATAACCGTGTAATTTTTCCTATATAATATCTAGGGCAACTTTCACATATAACAAACAAAAAATTCATATTTGTATGCTATAGCAAACTTTGCATAATCGCGCTCCATAGCAAACATAAAACAGTATAATTTGCTATACATATACAATTGTATAATTCGCTGACCTAAATTGTATAATTCGCTGGCCTAAATTGTATAATTCGCTGGCCTATTTCGCTGCAATTGTATAATTTGTTTTGCATACAATTGAATCGAATTAAAATGTATGTATATTGCATAATTATAAGTGTATAGTAAGAAGATATATGTTTTTCTCGCTTTATACAAAAACAGAAACACAATATATACAATTTTGTTGTATAAAGCTAGAGAAAATTGTATTTCACTGCAATTGTATAATTCGTTGGCCTTTTTCTCTGCAATATTTGAAGTAAAATGTTTGTAAATTGTACAATTAATTGTATAACACGAAGATATACATTTTTGCATGTGTATATACAATTTTCTCTCGCTTTATACAAAACAAAACAGAATTATACACTTTTGTGTATAAAGCGAGAGAGGCGAGCGAAAATAGAGAGTGGCGAGCGAGATTTTTGGGAGAGAGACGCTGATAAATTTTAGCTAATGTTTGCTATGGAACACAATTAAATCAAACCCTAGCTATTCCATTTAATTTACGTTATTAGTTTGCTATTATATACAATTTTCCCTAATATCTAACTTCGACCATATAAAAGTTCAAATAATAAGCCCGTCGACAAAACAAAAGCCCAATAAGTAAGGCCCGTATATATATATCTTGGCCCGTTTAGAAAAATAGCTATTGCTTCACCATCAGTTGCCGTCTTCAACACTGAAAACTCGAGCTTGAAGCTTTTTAGCTATGGAGGCGAACACATCAGCTACTGGACGACCCGACCCATTTCGTCTATTTGATGAAAAATCCCAATCTGGGTTTGGATTCGGATTCGGGTCCGGATTTGTTGATGGCCCAGAAAAGCCTCTTCCACCACCTCCTCCTTCTGTTGAAGTACTTCCATCACAGGTATTTTTGTGAAACTTTTTGTTTATCTTTAACTAATATTTAAAGTTAAGTTGGATTAAATTGCTATGAGAAAGTAATATAAGTTGCAATTATTCTCATGTTGATATGATGAAGGAGAATACATTTAAAAATATTGGTGAAAAAGTTCACATAGTTTGAATCTCGAGAAGTGAAATGTGAATTAATTTTTCTTTTTAATATATTGAAAACTCGTATTGTTACTCCCTTGTCTGATTTTGACTTGCCACTTAACTTTAGAAGATATATACGATTTTCGAATTTTGTAGTCTTTAACTAAATATATGTAGGATGTACTGTATTGTCCTTTAATCAAGTGGTCTTTAACTAAATTTATGTAGGATGATGTATCCTCGTGTCATGTAATCTTGTGGTGTTAAACATGCAACGTGAAAGTTGAATGTACCATTCTGTCCTTTAGTCTTGCGGTTTAAGCATGTCACCTGAAAGTTGGAATCAAGTAGTGGTCAAAAAAAGAAAGTGACATTCTATTTGAAACGAGGGGAGTGCTTATTTTTTACGTTTATTTTATTTAGTATGATCGTGATGTGAAATGAGTTTACATGAAGAAGTTGAGATTCATATAGCTGACCCCAACTTGTTTGGGACTGAGGCATAGTTATTGTTATTGTTGTTGGAGTAGGTTTCATCAAATGTGGAGTTCAATGTGGAGCCTATAGATTTGGATGGCCTTACTTTGCTTAAGGTAAGATTAGTTCTATGATACCATTTTTCAGTGTTTGGTTACTTTCAATTGTGAAAATATTTTTCTCAAAAAACAATTTTTTTAATAAGTTGAGTCATTTTTCTGTAAAAAGATTCTAGCTTTTACTTCAATTAGCTTGTTTAGATCAACTTTTTTAGATATACTTGTGAACCTGCTAATAGATATCATCATAATAACACTGTACTTATACTCTGCACAATGTCTTTTACAAGTACCAAATGTTACTTGCTTTTGTAACCAAACAAACACTTATGATTTTGTGCCTATGATTTCCTAAGGTAAAACAGTTTCCCCGGAAACCATTTTTCACGGAAGAAAGGAATGATTTAGTTTAAGTTATGTTTAGTTGCCTTAACTGGTGGTTAATTCTTTTCTAGGGAAGGGTCAGTACAAAGGAGGTATTTGGGTTGTCTAATTCAGATTTAATCCCCGGAAAATATGAAGGTATGTAACAATTTAGTTCTCCATTTTGTCTCCTTCATGCTCATATACCTCAACATGAATTATGTGAACTTTATTAAGTTGAATGTCCTTTATATAGGAGTATTCTCATTCTTTTTACAGATGTTGTAGCACTTACTGATCACTAATTAGAATGTGAAGTGCACCTAGATGACTGATATTCTCATTTATGTTATTCTCATTTCGCAGGGGGGCTGAAATTGTGGGAAGGTTCATTAGATTTAGTGAAGACTCTAAGCTCTGAGATGCAAAGCGGCAAATTATCATTGACTGGAAAAAGAGTTTTAGAGGTGGGCTCCTAATGTGGAGGTGAAATCTTTGATCTTGTATGCTATGCCTAGAGACTGCTAATCCTAACTTATTAAATCCACCCTTAGCTTCGACTTTTTTCATTATGTCCGATTTTTTATGCTCGTTAAGCATACTAAAGTTCTTTTTCTGTTGACAACTTTTGCATCCGCTAAATAAATCACATGCTTTTTCCAAAGAAAGAGCTATTGATAGGTGATTCTCTTTTATAGTTGTGCAAGTTTGTATCGACTATGATCACTTTAAGTTTTTGTTGAATACTTGAGGGATTTCCAACTAACCTTGACTCAATACTTTATTCTTGTAATTATCTTCCGTTATAATCTTGTTTACTCTCTTTCATTTGTTTTCAGCTTGGTTGTGGTCATGGTCTTCCTGGGATCTTTGCATGCCTAAAGGTACATAAATGCCTTAACTGATTTTTGATTAATTGTCTCATCATCGTCCTCTTGATCAAGATTTTTTCTTTCGTTGTACTAGGGTGCTCGTGCTGTACACTTTCAGGACTTCAATGCTGAGGTGCTGCAATGCCTAACAATTCCAAATGTCAATGCCAATATTCAACAGAACTTGTCGGCCACAGACGACAATAGCAGCCCGGAAGTTCGCTTCTTTGCAAGTGATTGGAATGAAGCTCATCTGATTCTTCCTCATGTACTTGCTGATGATGATGGCACAAAAAACGACCAAACAGTTGATCAGGCTGCTGGTTATGATATAATTCTCATGGCAGAGACAGTTTACTCAATTTCTACTCTACCGAGTCTGTACAAACTTATTAAAAAGGTTTGTTTTGGTTGAAATTTTAATTTTAGTTCTATTGGTGAATCTCCTCGCGTCTGAGCTATTGCTTTTGTTCCTTCCTTTTTCCTTTTCTGTGCAGTGCTTATGTAGTCCTCATGGAATTTTATATCTAGCTGCAAAGAAGCATTATTTTGGTGTCGGTGGTGGATCAAGGCGATTTATTTCGATTGTGGAGAAAGACGGTGCACTACTCTGTCTACTTTTACTCTTATTCCTAGAGAAGTGGCATTAATGTACTTCCTACTGCATTTTCCATTGTGAACTGGATAGTTGTCCTCTAAAGCTGTAGAATTATGAACTGGTTATCAGTCTCTTTTTTCTTTTTTGGTGATCATCGTGCTCTTCTCTTTTGAGCCCAGGTTCTATCGGAAACAGTCTCCTTACGCCCAAAGGCCATAAAGTCTGCGGGCATCCTATCCTCCCTGGACCCCATTTGTGGGGATTACACTGGGTATATTGTTGTTGTTTGAGGATCATTATGCTTTATCGGTCATGCCATGAGGTGCAGCGGGAGTAGAGGCTTGTTTCTACTCCTCCTGTCCCCGAGTGCCTTGACTAACAATGCTTCTCATGTCTTGTCTCACTCCGATGACTGCTTTTTAGGGTTAATGAGTTAGACATATTTTATCATATGATCCATCAAACGCCTAGTTTCCTATAGAAAGAGCTCGATACTCCGCTGCATCCTTTTCTTTCTAGAATCACATGAGCGACTAGCGCTCTTGGATTAGCACGAGGATTTCCAGTTGCTACATGCTGTTAGTGTCCAGTCCGGTTA